AAAATTTCCTTAATTACATGTCTTCTACATAGCTAAATGTATGAAAAATGGATCCGCCAAGGGTGGAATACATGTTTTTCAATATTACATATTATTACATGTAAATATAATAAAGGTCAAATGTCATACATGCAGTTCAAGGTCATTACAATAATTTATGAAAAAAAATCAGAAGCCAAAGGTCACAACAGTTAAGATATCATCATGTTGAAATTCTACCTGTCTGGTCAGCAGGTCTAAGGGAAGTAACTCTAAGTACAAAAACTAGAAACCATTAGAAAGTGAGTCGCAGCGAGTAATTCTGATGAAACTACAAAGAGCGAAAAAAGAGAAAACATAGACCTTTGTGTAGCTACAACATAGAAACAACAAAACTACAAATTGATCACCCTGCAGCCAAGAAAGGGGGGGGGGGCAATCCAGAGGAACACATACACTACCAAACATGAGATGACAAGACAGAAAATGTCCTCCTTTCACTTGTCCATCACAAAAATTCCTTTTATGTGCCACCTTAATTATTTGAAAAAATGCCAAAAGTGCAAAAGTCCAAGAAACTAAGAAAAAATGAACACCAGGTCACTGTCCTACACTTCCATAATATACACAGATAGAGCAAAACATAATAAATACACAGTCACATGTACATGCAAAATACATACATAAATCTATTCATACATACAATCATTCATTTTAAGGACAATCTAATACATTTTCTTAACTTACCTTCCTCCTTTGACCATGTCAACTGTACAGGGCTTTACTAATTTCTATCTTCTCTTACCCCCCCCCCCCCCTCCTCTCTTCAATAGACCCAAATCACCACTAACCCCATTACCGCAGTAAACTAATTCAAATTTTTGCTAAATTTTCTCTCGAAATGTCATCAATCTTCAAATAATTAGCTAAAAATAACATTTCATGACTTTCAAATCACTTTAAAGTGTAAAAATTGGGGTCTCTATAGGGAAAAGACCACTAATTATTTTCCCATAGACTCCATACAAACCTTAGGCCCTCTCAGTACTTTACTATGACAATTTCAGAAAAATCTTTAGCATCATTTCAAACTTTGTTCTAAGCCCTAACAAAAAATACTGAAAAAAATATATGGTCCCATTGCGTTTATAGGTCAAAATTGCAGTTATTTTCAACTTATAGAGATTCGCAGTAAATAACACGCGACATAAAAAATCAACCCCCACTCCTAAAATCTTCCCTGGTATTTCTATAGTTTCTGTAATATTCCCTCATCCCATCATTTATTTCAAAGGTCATTAATTTTACTTTAAAATGAAAACAATTAAATACCTGATTTCAGCCAATGGCGTAACGCCTACCCATTCAGTATTCTGTTTAATGTTCCATAACAAACAAAGCCATGTGTGCATCCGGGGATTTGGTGCTCTCATTCCTATACTTACATACTTACCTGTCCCAGAATTAGTCAATTGTGGTAATTTCAAAGACTATACACCTACCTGTGAACATGTATGAAATTTGAGTCCTGTGACTTCAGTGTATTGGATACTGTGACCATCTCAAATGATGACACCTTACTGCTACCAGCACAGTTCAAAGGAGTGAATGACGTCTGGGCCGGTGATGATATTTGGATATATTGGTGACTGTAATAAATAAAATATTTGTACAATGAATTGTTTTTGTGTTTTAATGTTAATAAAGTGATATTAAGTCAAAATTGAGTCAATAATTTCATAAGGGTGGATTCTACCCAGAATTAGGTAAAAAGCTCCAAAATTGGATAAATCATAGTTAATTAAGCAAAATTCAAAGGTTTTAAAAAGACTGATATAGAATTTTTTTTATGCTTATGCAAAGTAAATTATTTAAGACTCTGATATACTAATTGATTCTTATCTAATCCCTCCTATTGCTTAAGTATGTACAAAAAAGTTTCCCCACCCCCCAGTGAAAAACACTTAAAGAAATAGCAGGTGCCCCCTTTTATTTTTGTTTACAATTAATTTAGACATTTAAATCAATCCTTTTGATAACAAATCAAAGTTCAATGTCTGTAGTCTTATACATTACAATCAGAAGCTACTTTTCGAATTTTATGCTAAGAAAAGGAGAATTTAAATAATTTTTTTTTAAAAATTAAAGAAAAGCAAAAACTGACTTCAACCCCCAAAATGTACTATACAATAAGAGGCTGGAAAGTTAATAAATAAAAAATTTACCTGCAATGTACAGAAAACTGTCCGACAAAATACATCGGGTGGGTAGGGAGTCTCCATTTTCTTCTTATATAGAGAAAATGCCCCTGCTGATCAGAGACCGAGCACTCCCGGGGCCAAGAAAGCTGAAAGATGAAATTCCTCTAAAGTGCTTAAATGAAAATAAATCAATAAAATTAGTCAAATTAAGCATAAATCATGAAAGAAACAACAATATTTTTCAAGTTTTCTAAAAATTTCCTTAATTACATGTCTTCTACATAGCTAAATGTATGAAAAATGGATCCGCCAAGGGTGGAATAGAATACATGTTTTTTCAATATTACATAATATTACATGTAAATATAATAAAGGTCAAATGTCATACATGCAGTTCAAGGTCATTACAATAATTTATGAAAAAAAATCAGAAGCCAAAGGTCACAACTGTTAAGATATCATCATGTTGAAATTCTACCTGTCTGGTCAGCAGGTCTAAGGGAAGTAACTCTAAGTACAAAAACTAGAAACCATTAGAAAGTGAGTCGCAGCGAGTAATTCTGATGAAACTACAAAGAGCGAAAAAAGAGAAAACATAGACCTTTGTGTAGCTACAACATAGAAACAACAAAACTACAAATTGATCACCCTGCAGCCAAGAAAGGGGGGGGGGGCAATCCAGAGGAACACATACACTACCAAACATGAGATGACAAGACAGAAAATGTCCTCCTTTCACTTGTCCATCACAAAAATTCCTTTTATGTGCCACCTTAATTATTTGAAAAAATGACAAAAGTGCAAAAGTCTAAGAAACTAAAAAAAAATGAACACCAGGTCACTGTCCTACACTTCCATAATATATACAGATAGAGCAAAACATAATAAATACACAGTCACATGTACATGCAAAATACATACATAAATCTATGCATACATACAATCATTCATCTTAAGAACAATCTAATACATTTTCTTAACTTACCTTCCTCCTTTGACCATGTCAACTGTACAGGGCTTTACTAATTTCTATCTTCTCTTACCCCCCCCCCCCCCCCTCCTCTCTTTAATAGACCCAAATCACCACTAACCCCATTACCGCAGTAAACTAATTCAAATTTTTGCTAAATTTTCTCTCGAAATGTCATCAATCTTCAAATAATTAGCTAAAAATAACATTTCATGACTTTCAAATCACTTTAAAGTGTAAAAATTGGGGTCTCTATAGGGAAAAGACCACTAATTATTTTCCCATAGAACTCCATACAAACCTTAGGCCCTCTCAGTACTTTACTATGACAATTTCAGAAAAATCTTTAGCATCATTTCAAACTTTGTTCTAAGCCCTAACAAAAAATACTGAAAAAAATATATGGTCCCATTGCGTTTATAGGTCAAAATTGCAGTTATTTTCAACTTATAGAGATTCGCAGTAAATAACACGCGACATAAAAAATCAACCCCCACTCCTAAAATCTTCCCTGGTATTTCTATAGTTTCTGTAATATTCCCTCATCCCATCATTTATTTCAAAGGTCATTAATTTTACTTTAAAATGAAAACAATTAAATACCTGATTTCAGCCAATGGCGTAACGCCTACCCATTCAGTATTCTGTTTAATGTTCCATAACAAACAAAGCCATGTGTGCATCCGGGGATTTGGTGCTCTCATTCCTATACTTACATACTTACCTGTCCCAGAATTAGTCAATTGTGGTAATTTCAAAGACTATACACCTACCTGTGAACATGTATGAAATTTGAGTCCTGTGACTTCAGTGTATTGGATACTGTGACCATCTCAAATGATGACACCTTACTGCTACCAGCACAGTTCAAAGGAGTGAATGACGTCTGGGCCGGTGATGATATTTGGATATATTGGTGACTGTAATAAATAAAATATTTGTACAATGAATTGTTTTTGTGTTTTAATGTTAATAAAGTGATATTAAGTCAAAATTGAGTCAATAATTTCATAAGGGTGGATTCTACCCAGAATTAGGTAAAAAGCTCCAAAATTGGATAAATCATAGTTAATTAAGCAAAATTCAAAGGTTTTAAAAAGACTGATATAGAATTTTTTTATGCTTATGCAAAGTAAATTATTTAAGACTCTGATATACTAATTGATTCTTATCTAATCCCTCCTATTGCTTAAGTATGTACAAAAAAGTTTCCCCACCCCCCAGTGAAAAACACTTAAAGAAATAGCAGGTGCCCCCTTTTATTTTTGTTTACAATTAATTTAGACAAGTTTAAATCAATCCTTTTGATAACAAATCAAAGTTCAATATCTGTAGTCTTATACATTACAATCAGAAGCTACTTTTTGAATTTCATGCTAAGAAAAGGAGAATTTAAATAATTTTTTTTAAAAATTAAAGAAAAGCAAAAACTGACTTCAACCCCCAAAATGTACTATACAATAAGAGGCTGGAAAGTTAATAAATAAAAAATTTACCTGCAATGTACAGAAAACTGTCCGACAAAATACATCGGGTGGGTAGGGAGTCTCCATTTTCTTCTTATATAGAGAAAATGCCCCTGCTGATCAGAGACCGAGCACTCCCGGGGCCAAGAAAGCTGAAAGATGAAATTCCTCTAAAGTGCTTAAATGAAAATAAATCAATAAAATTAGTCAAATTAAGCATAAATCATGAAAGAAACAACAATATTTTTCAAGTTTTCTAAAAATTTCCTTAATTACATGTCTTCTACATAGCTAAATGTATGAAAAATGGATCCGCCAAGGGTGGAATACATGTTTTTTCAATATTACATAATATTACATGTAAATATAATAAAGGTCAAATGTCATACATGCAGTTCAAGGTCATTACAATAATTTATGAAAAAAAATCAGAAGCCAAAGGTCACAACTGTTAAGATATCATCATGTTGAAATTCTACCTGTCTGGTCAGCAGGTCTAAGGGAAGTAACTCTAAGTACAAAAACTAGAAACCATTAGAAAGTGAGTCGCAGCGAGTAATTCTGATGAAACTACAAAGAGCGAAAAAAGAGAAAACATAGACCTTTGTGTAGCTACAACATAGAAACAACAAAACTACAAATTGATCACCCTGCAGCCAAGAAAGGGGGGGGGGGGCAATCCAGAGGAACACATACACTACCAAACATGAGATGACAAGACAGAAAATGTCCTCCTTTCACTTGTCCATCACAAAAATTCCTTTTATGTGCCACCTTAATTATTTGAAAAAATGCCAAAAGTGCAAAAGTCTAAGAAACTAAAAAAAATGAACACCAGGTCACTGTCCTACACTTCCATAATATACACAGATAGAGCAAAACATAATAAATACACAGTCACATGTACATGCAAAATACATACATAAATCTATGCATACATACAATCATTCATCTTAAGAACAATCTAATACATTTTCTTAACTTACCTTCCTCCTTTGACCATGTCAACTGTACAGGACTTTACTAATTTCTATCTTCTCTACCCCCCCCCCCCCCCCCCCCCTCCTCTCTTCAATAGACCCAAATCACCACTAACCCCATTACCGCAGTAAACTAATTCAAATTTTTGCTAAATTTTCTCTCGAAATGTCATCAATCTTCAAATAATTAGCTAAAAATAACATTTCATGACTTTCAAATCACTTTAAAGTGTAAAAATTGGGGTCTCTATAGGGAAAAGACCACTAATTATTTTCCCATAGAACTCCATACAAACCTTAGGCCCTCTCAGTACTTTACTATGACAATTTCAGAAAAATCTTTAGCATCATTTCAAACTTTGTTCTAAGCCCTAACAAAAAATACTGAAAAAAATATATGGTCCCATTGCGTTTATAGGTCAAAATTGCAGTTATTTTCAACTTATAGAGATTCGCAGTAAATAACACGCGACATAAAAAATCAACCCCCACTCCTAAAATCTTCCCTGGTATTTCTATAGTTTCTGTAATATTCCCTCATCCCATCATTTATTTCAAAGGTCATTAATTTTACTTTAAAATGAAAACAATTAAATACCTGATTTCAGCCAATGGCGTAACGCCTACCCATTCAGTATTCTGTTTAATGTTCCATAACAAACAAAGCCATGTGTGCATCCGGGGATTTGGTGCTCTCATTCCTATACTTACATACTTACCTGTCCCAGAATTAGTCAATTGTGGTAATTTCAAAGACTATACACCTACCTGTGAACATGTATGAAATTTGAGTCCTGTGACTTCAGTGTATTGGATACTGTGACCATCTCAAATGATGACACCTTACTGCTACCAGCACAGTTCAAAGGAGTGAATGACGTCTGGGCCGGTGATGATATTTGGATATATTGGTGACTGTAATAAATAAAATATTTGTACAATGAATTGTTTTTGTGTTTTAATGTTAATAAAGTGATATTAAGTCAAAATTGAGTCAATAATTTCATAAGGGTGGATTCTACCCAGAATTAGGTAAAAAGCTCCAAAATTGGATAAATCATAGTTAATTAAGCAAAATTCAAAGGTTTTAAAAAGACTGATATAGAATTTTTTTTATGCTTATGCAAAGTAAATTATTTAAGACTCTGATATACTAATTGATTCTTATCTAATCCCTCCTATTGCTTAAGTATGTACAAAAAAGTTTCCCCACCCCCCAGTGAAAAACACTTAAAGAAATAGCAGGTGCCCCCTTTTATTTTTGTTTACAATTAATTTAGACAAGTTTAAATCAATCCTTTTGATAACAAATCAAAGTTCAATATCTGTAGTCTTATACATTACAATCAGAAGCTACTTTTTGAATTTCATGCGAGAAGAATTTAAATAATTTTTTTTAAAAATTAAAGAAAAGCAAAAACTGACTTCAACCCCCAAAATGTACTATACAATAAGAGGCTGGAAAGTTAATAAATAAAAAATTTACCTGCAATGTACAGAAAACTGTCCGACAAAATACATCGGGTGGGTAGGGAGTCTCCATTTTCTTCTTATATAGAGAAAATGCCCCTGCTGATCAGAGACCGAGCACTCCCGGGGCCAAGAAAGCTGAAAGATGAAATTCCTCTAAAGTGCTTAAATGAAAATAAATCAATAAAATTTCAAATGTCATACATGCAGTTCAAGGTCATTACAATAATTTATGAAAAAAAATCAGAAACTACAAAGGTCATCAACAGTTAAGATATCATCAAGGAACACAAATTCTACCAAACATGAGTCAGCAGAAAATGTCCTCCTTTCACTTGAAGTTTTATGTGCCACCTTAATTATTTGAAAAAATGTAGTGCAAAAAAAACTAGAAAAAAATGAAAAGTCACTGTCCTACACTTCCATAATATCTGATGAAACATAATAAATACACAGTCACAAATGCAGAAAACATATATAAATGTAGCATACATACAAATTCATCTTAAGAACAAAATACATTTTCTTAACTTACCTTCCTCCCTGACCATGTCAACAGCCCCCCTCTCTTCAATAGACCCAAATCAACACACCCCATTACCGCAGTAAACTAATTCAAATTTTTGAGATGACAAGACAGAAAATGTCCTCCTTTCACTTGTCCATCAAAAAAAATGTGCAGGCCCTCTCAGTACTTTACTATGACAATTTCAGAAAAAAGCATCATTTCCTCTTGGAAAAGACCACAAAAAATTATTTTGTCATTGCAGTTATTTTCAAACTTAATTCCAGTAAATATAACTCAACCCCCTCTCAGTATGGTGACAAGTTTCAGTAAAAAATGTACCTTTGCAAAATACATTACATAAATTTATGCATCCGGGCTTTCATAGGTGGGAAAATTTTAATTGATAAATACACATTTAAGAACAAGATTTTTCTGAAATAACATTTTCAAAATACCTTACTGACCATGTCAAAGGTACAGAGTTTTACTAATAATTCTATCTTCTCTTTTCTCTTCAAATAGACCCAAATTTTACTAACCCAATTACCGCAGTAATGTTCATTTTTTTGCTAAATTTTGAAGATCGAAATGTCATCAAGAATAATTAGCTAAAATTTGAAATATTTCATGACTTTCAAATCACTTTAAGAGTGTAAAAATTGGGGGGGTAAGAGAAGATAGAAATTGGTAAAGACCACTAATTTCCAGAAAATGTAACCTCTTAAATGAATGATATTTATGTATGGTAATTATCAGAAATTATGTTGTACATGATTTTATTATGTTTTACCTAATAAAGTGTAATAGTGAAAAACCACCTTTTGCTCTAAAATTGGATAAATCAATAATTAAGCAAAATACAAAGGAATTTTTGTACTGAAAGGAGGACAGATGCTTCATGCAAAGTAAATTAAAACACAATTGGAATTTGTAATTCAGTTGTACAAAAGGTTTTTTTTCCCCAAAAATTTGTAGTTTAAAATCTTCCCTTTTATTTTTGTTTTTGTACTTATTTATTTAAACAATTTTAGAACAAATCAAATTTTGTGACCTTTAATCTGATTTTTTTTCATAAATTATTGTAATGACCTTGAACTGCATTATAAAATTTACATGTAATAATATGTAATATTGAAAAACATTATCATTTTTACATACATTCATGATTTATGCTTAATTTGACTAATTTTATTGATTTATTTTCATTTAAGCACTTTAGAGGAATTTCATCTTTGATGGCCCCAGGTCTCTGATCAAAGTCAGGGGCATTTTCTCTATATATAAGAAGAAAATTAAAGACTAATTTCACCCAATGATGTATTTTGTCGGACAGTTTTCTGTACATTGCAGGTATTTTTTTATTTATTAACTTTCCAGCCTCTTATTGTGTACATTTTGGGGGTTGAAGTCAGTTTTTGCTTTTCTTTAATTTAAAAAAAAAATTATTTAAATTCTCCTTTTCTTAGCATGAAATTCAAAAAGTAGCTTCTGATTGTAATGTATAAGACTACAGATATTGAACTTTGATTTGTTATCAAAAGGATTGATTTACTCTTGTCTAAATTAATTGTAAACAAAAATTGGATATTTCTTTAAGTGTTTTTCACTGGGGGGTGGGGAAACTTTTTTGTACATACTTAAGCAATAGGAGGGATTAGATAAGAATCAATTAGTATATCAGAGTCTTAAATAATTTGTTTTGCATAAGCATAAAAAAATTCTATATCAGTCTTTTTAAAACCTTTGAATTTTGCTTAATTAACTATGATTTATCCAATTTTTGGGTAGAATCCACCCTTATGAAATTATTGACTCAATTTTGACTTAATATCACTTTATTAACATTAAAACACAAAAAAAATTCATTGTACAAATATTTTATTTATTACAGTCACCAATATATCCAAATATCATCACCGGCCCAGATGTCATTCACTCCTTTGAACTGTGCTGGTAGCAGTAAGGTGTCATCATTTGAGATGGTCACAGTATCCAATACACTGAAGTCACAGGACTCAAATTTCATACATGTTCACAGGTAGGTGTATAGTCTTTGAAATTACCACAATTGACTAATTCTGGGACAGGTAAGTATGTAAGTATAGGAATGAGAGTACCAAATACCGGATGAACACATGGCTTTGTTTGTTATGGAACATTAAACAGAATACTGAATGGGTAGGCGTTACGCCATTGGCTGAAATCAGGTATTTAATTGTTTTCATTTTAAAGTAAAATTAATGACCTTTGAAATAAATGATGGGATGAGGGAATATTACAGAAACTATAGAAATACCAGGGAAGATTTTAGGAGTGGGGGTTGATTTTTTATGTCGCGTGTTATTTACTGCGAATCTCTATAAGTTGAAAATAACTGCAATTTTGACCTATAAACGCAATGGGACCATATATTTTTTTCAGTATTTTTTGTTAGGGCTTAGAACAAAGTTTGAAATGATGCTAAAGATTTTTCTGAAATTGTCATAGTAAAGTACTGAGAGGGCCTAAGGTTTGTATGGAGTTCTATGGGAAAATAATTAGTGGTCTTTTCCCTATAGAGACCCCAATTTTTACACTGTAAAGTGATTTGAAAGTCATGAAATGTTATTTTTAGCTAATTATTTGAAGATTGATGACATTTCGAGAGAAAATTTAGCAAAAATTTGAATTAGTTTACTGCGGTAATGGGGTTAGTGGTGATTTGGGTCTTTTGAAGAGAGAAGGGGGGGGGGGGGGGTAAGAGAAGATAGAATTTAGTAAAGCCCTGTACAGTTGACATGGTCAAAGGAGGAAGGTAAGTTAAGAAAATGTATTAGATTGTTCTTAAGATGAATGATTGTATGTATGCATAGATTTATGTATGTATTTTGCATGTACATGTGACTGTGTATTTATTATGTTTTGCTCTATCTGTGTATATTATGGAAGTGTAGGACAGTGACCTGGTGTTCATTTTTTTTAGTTTCTTAGACTTTTGCACTTTTGGCATTTTTTCAAATAATTAAGGTGGCACATAAAAGGAATTTTTGTGATGGACAAGTGAAAGGAGGACATTTTCTGTCTTGTCATCTCATGTTTGGTAGTGTATGTGTTCCTCTGGATTGCCCCCCCCCCCTTTCTTGGCTGCAGGGTGATCAATTTGTAGTTTTGTTGTTTCTATGTTGTAGCTACACAAAGGTCTATGTTTTCTCTTTTTTCGCTATTTGTAGTTTCATCAGAATTACTCGCTGCGACTCACTTTCTAATGGTTTCTAGTTTTTGTACTTAGAGTTACTTCCCTTAGACCTGCTGACCAGACAGGTAGAATTTCAACATGATGATATCTTAACTGTTGTGACCTTTGGCTTCTGATTTTTTTTCATAAATTATTGTAATGACCTTGAACTGCATGTATGACATTTGACCTTTATTATATTTACATGTAATAATATGTAATATTGAAAAACATGTATTCCACCCTTGGCGGATCCATTTTTCATACATTTAGCTATGTAGAAGACATGTAATTAAGGAAATTTTTAGAAAACTTGAAAAATATTGTTGTTTCTTTCATGATTTATGCTTAATTTGACTAATTTTATTGATTTATTTTCATTTAAGCACTTTAGAGGAATTTCATCTTTCAGCTCTCTTGGCCCCGGGAGTGCTCGGTCTCTGATCAGCAGGGGCATTTTCTCTATATAAGAAGAAAATGGAGACTCCCTACCCACCCGATGTATTTTGTCGGACAGTTTTCTGTACATTGCAGGTAAATTTTTTATTTATTAACTTTCCAGCCTCTTATTGTATAGTACATTTTGGGGTTTGAAGTCAGTTTTTGCTTTTCTTTAATTTAAAAAAAAAATTATTTAAATTCTCCTTTTCTTAGCATGAAATTCAAAAAGTAGCTTCTGATTGTAATGTATAAGACTACAGATATTGAACTTTGATTTGTTATCAAAAGGATTGATTTACTCTTGTCTAAATTAATTGTAAACAAAAATAAAAGGGGGCACCTGCTATTCCTTTAAGTGTTTTTCACTGGGGGGTGGGGAAACTTTTTTGTACATACTTAAGCAATAGGAGGGATTAGATAAGAATCAATTAGTATATCAGAGTCTAAAATAATTTACTTTGCATAAGCATAAAAAAATTCTATATCGGTCTTTTTAAAACCTTTGAATTTTGCTTAATTATCTATGATTTATCCAATTTTGGAGCTTTTTACCTAATTCTGGGTAGAATCCACCCTTATGAAATTATTGACTCAATTTTAACTTAATATCACTTTATTAACATTAAAACACAAAAACAATTCATTGTACAAATATTTTATTTATTACAGTCACCAATATATCCAAATATCATCACCGGCCCAGACGACGTTCACTCCTTTGAACTGTGCTGGTAGCAGTAAGGTGTCATCATTTGAGATGGTCACAGTATCCAATACACTGAAGTCACAGGACTCAAATTTCATACATGTTCACAGGTAGGTGTATAGTCTTTGAAATTACCACAATTGACTAATTCTGAGACAGGTAAGTATGTAAGTATAGGAATGAGAGCACCAAATCCCCGGATGCACACATGGCTTTGTTTGTTATGGAAGATTAAACAGAATACTGAATGGGTAGGCGTTACCCCATTGGCTGAAATCAGGTATTTAATTGTTTTCATTTTAAAGTAAAATTAATGACCTTTGAAATAAATGATGGGATGAGGGAATATTACAGAAACTATAGAAATGCCAGGGAAGATTTTAGGAGTGGGGGTTGATTTTTTATGTCGCGTGTTATTTACTGCGAATCTCTATAAGTTGAAAATAACTGCAATTTTGACCTATAAACGCAATGGGACCATATATTTTTTTCAGTATTTTTTGTTAGGGCTTAGAACAAAGTTTGAAATGATGCTAAAGATTTTTCTGAAATTGTCATAGTAAAGTACTGAGAGGGCCTAAGGTTTGTATGGAGTTCTATGGGAAAATAATTAGTGGTCTTTTCCCTATAGAGACCCCAATTTTTACACGGTAAAGTGATTTGAAAGTCATGAAATGTTATTTTTAGCTAATTATTTGAAGATTGATGACATTTCGAGAGAAAATTTAGCAAAAATTTGAATTAGTCTACTGCGGTAATGGGGTTAGTGGTGATTTGGGTCTATTGAAGAGAGGGGGGGGGGGGGGTAAGAGAAGATAGAAATTAGTAAAGCCCTGTACAGTTGACATGGTCAAAGGAGGAAGGTAAGGTAAGAAAATGTATTAGATTTTTCTTAAGATGAATGATTGTATGTATGCATAGATTTTATGTATGTATTTTGCATGTACATGTGACTGTGTATTTATTATGTTTTACTCTATCTGTGTATATTATGGAAGTGTAGGACAGTGACCTGGTGTTCATTTTTTTTTAGTTTCTTAGACTTTTGCACTTTTGGCATTTTTTCAAATAATTAAGGTGGCACATAAAAGGAATTTTTGTGATGGACAAGTGAAAGGAGGACATTTTCTGTCTTGTCATCTCATGTTTGGTAGTGTATGTGTTCCTCTGGATTGCCCCCCCCCCCCCTTTCTTGGCTGCAGGGTGATCAATTTGTAGTTTTGTTGTTTCTATGTTGTAGCTACACAAAGGTCTATGTTTTCTCTTTTTTCGCTCTTTGTAGTTTCATCAGAATTACTCGCTGCGACTCACTTTTTAATGGTTTCTAGTTTTTGTACTTAGAGTTACTTCCCTTAGACCTGCTGACCAGACAGGTAGAATTTCAACATGATGATATCTTAACTGTTGTGACCTTTGGCTTCTGATTTTTTTTCATAAATTATTGTAATGACCTTGAACTGCATGTATGACATTTGACCTTTATTATATTTACATGTAATAATATGTAATATTGAAAAACATGTATTCCACCCTTGGCGGATCCATTTTTCATACATTTAGCTATGTAGAAGACATGTAATTAAGAAAATTTTCAGAAAACTTGAAAAATATTGTTGTTTCTTTCATGATTTATGCTTAATTTGACTAATTTTATTGATTTATTTTCATTTAAGCACTTTAGAGGAATTTCATCTTTCAGCTCTCTTGGCCCCGGGAGTGCTCGGTCTCTGATCAGCAGGGGCATTTTCTCTATATAAGAAGAAAATGGAGACTCCCTACCCACCCGATGTATTTTGTCGGACAGTTTTCTGTACATTGCAGGTAAATTTTTTATTTATTAACTTTCCAGCCTCTTATTGTATAGTACATTTTGGGGTTTGAAGTCAGTTTTTGCTTTTCTTTAATTTAAAAAAAAAATTATTTAAATTCTCCTTTTCTTAGCATGAAATTCAAAAAGTAGCTTCTGATTGTAATGTATAAGACTACAGATATTGAACTTTGATTTGTTATCAAAAGGATTGATTTACTCTTGTCTAAATTAATTGTAAACAAAAATAAAAGGGGGCACCTGCTATTCCTTTAAGTGTTTTTCACTGGGGGGTGGGGAAACTTTTTTGTACATACTTAAGCAATAGGAGGGATTAGATAAGAATCAATTAGTATATCAGAGTCTTAAATAATTTACTTTGCATAAGCATAAAAAAATTCTATATCAGTCTTTTTAAAACCTTTGAATTTTGCTTAATTATCTATGATTTATCCAATTTTGGAGCTTTTTACCTAATTCTGGGTAGAATCCACCCTTATGAAATTATTGACTCAATTTTAACTTAATATCACTTTATTAACATTAAAACACAAAAACAATTCATTGTACAAATATTTTATTTATTACAGTCACCAATATATCCAAATATCATCACCGGCCCAGACGTCATTCACTCCTTTGAACTGTGCTGGTAGCAGTAAGGTGTCATCATTTGAGATGGTCACAGTATCCAATACACTGAAGTCACAGGACTCAAATTTCATACATGTTCACAGGTAGGTGTATAGTCTTTGAAATTACCACAATTGACTAATTCTGGGACAGGTAAGTATGTAAGTATAGGAATGAGAGCACCAAATCATTTTGGGGTTGAAGTCCGGATGCACACATGGCTTTGTTTGTTATGGAACATTAAACAGAATACTGAATGGGTAGGCGTTACCCCATTGGCTGAAATCAGGTATTTAATTGTTTTCATTTTAAAGTAAAATTAATGACCTTTGAAATAAATGATGGGATGAGGGAATATTACAGAAACTATAGAAATACCAGGGAAGATTTTAGGAGTGGGGGTTGATTTTTTATGTCGCGTGTTATTTACTGCGAATCTCTATAAGTTGAAAATAACTGCAATTTTGACCTATAAACGCAATGGGACCATATATTTTTTTCAGTATTTTTTGTTAGGGCTTAGAACAAAGTTTGAAATGATGCTAAAGATTTTTCTGAAAT